GAAAAGCAGAATCCCAAGACCGACCTGATCGCGTATAATCAAGCACTCGCTCAGTACAACCCAATGGTTATATCTCCCCGTATCCGCGCTGTGAGATGAATCTCGGCTTCAAGATCCAACTTGATCCCCAAGAGCAATGCCGCATCTTTGGGCTTGCCGTTATCGTCAACGGGCCCCTTGATGATGTTCCCTGCTGGGCGATTGAGATTGGCAGAAGTTGGAACAGGGCCAATGTTGGTCGAGATCTTACGGCCGCCAGAGGCTTGGCCTTCACTACCTGTATCGGACATATAGCCAGAAGGACGTGTGGTTTCGCTGTGAAAGGTCAGTACAGCTCGAGTGTGGAAAGATCTCCTTTACGTACAAAGTAGACATGGTGGTGTTGGCGAGGTGTCGTTGTATTACTGATTAAGGGTCGTGATACTGTTGTCAAGGGCGCCAGGCCGCGAATGTGGTTCTGATGTGAGGGTATCGTGCAAAATTGGGAAACTCAAGTTGACTGATGCTGTCCTAAGTGCTTAGTATCAAAGAACTTAAGTATCCTGCGAGAGCACGGTGTCCCTGAGACAGCCGCAGGTCAACCATATCGCACGACCTTTCGTGCTCCTTTCTCGAAACTCGAAATGCGCCGCTTTGAGGCCGCAGGGCTTACAGTCGTTCGACAATCGTACCAGTCTCCAACAGGCATATTGGGCAATGATTGCCTACTACACCCGCGTGGCGCATGCTTCTGATAGGCTGAGAAGCCTACTGGTAGTTCATGCTTGTGGGGTGGTTGCTAGCAAAAGGTGAAACGGGAAAGAGTACCCGCATCACAAGCGACGTCTCACATGGTGGACCTTGATTTGGGCTATCAGAAATGTCACGCGATCCTAACGAACTTGAATCATAGAAGGATGAGCCACTGTTTTCGGCAATGCGAAAGATGCATTAGGACGATCGGCACTCGTCAGCTTTGCCATCGTCTGAGGCACAACATTTGTCGGCTACGAGTCTGTTATCGCTTTCGGGGCTTCTACTTTTTCGACGACTGGATTCGACGATGATAGCTTGAGAAAAGCGCAAGCGTACTTGAAGCCCCTAAGCACGCAATGGTGCTAGGGATTCTAATCGCGACGATCACAGCCCCAGGCCTGCTCGGTAGCCAGGAAGCCATCCGGCAGGGACAAGCAAAAGACAAGCGAGAAGAGCATCGTGCACGACGGTGCAATCTGATCGCAACCTGCGTAAAGTCATCGCCGAGGAGTAGAGAGATCGATGGACGTCCAGTCGTGCTTCGCAACGGCAAGCTCTGGATCGACACCACCACTGAAGATGGTCAGCCGTTTGGCCACACATATGCTGGATACTACCTGCCATACCCAGATACGAAGTACGAGGGACTGGTTACCACGATTACTGATGCTGCACCAATCATGAACTGGGTGTATGTTGACGCGGCAACTTACGAAGTCAAGTACGGTGTCCGCGCCGACGCTCAACCAAATCTCACTGGACCATTCGACTGCACACGTCAAGACCGCCGCTTGAATTTCGACGGGTGGGAAGGCTGGTGTGCGGTGGAAGAATACCAGGGCTACTGGTGCTTGTACTTCGACGTTGACGATGACGGATTGAAGTCGAAAGTAGGGTCAGGAGTTAGAGTGCTGGAGATTGAACTAACCAGGAAGGAGAAGAGATTTAAGAAGGACAAGGATGCTCGTCAACATGACCAGACAACAAAACGGGCGGTTCAAACTGAAAAGGATGCGCCTGTCGATCAGCCATTGCAACAAGAGCCAGAGGTCAGACATCCTGGCGTATTTCAAAGCCCGGGGCCAGAGACTGTACTTGCAAATACAGAAAACGCAATGCCAACAAGACCGACGACGCCGCCTGCATACTCAAAATCAGACAGGGCCGTTTCTCCGCCCAGCCCAAGTCAGTTTAGGAAAGGGGCTGTCGGTGTGTTAGATGAACTTATAGCCACAGAAGCGCAACAAAGTGCCACTCAACAGGGTGGGAGACGGCTGACAACGCCGCCGCGATCAGTCCTACCCAACGTCGTTCCTGTGAACGAGAGAAGAGTCACGCCAAAGTTGAACCGGAACAGCGGCAGCAAAGCTATCGCGCAAGCTCAGATGTTCGAGGCCATGGCAGCTGCACAACTACATGATGATAGTGGGTTAGTCAGAAGTGTTTCTGAAAGCACCCGGATGTCAAGCAGCAGTCAGGCCTCTGCTTCTATATACTCCGAGGACGGACAAACATCGCATCAGGACGTACGCCCACAGTCAAGCATATCACAGAGAGCAAATGATCCATCACCTGCGACACTGCCGATGAGGGACCAACCGCCACTCACCGACCCCGCGGTATTCGCAGCATCCGTGCAGCCCGTCAGTAAGCGGAACAGTCGAGCAAGTGCTTCGTCTCAGCGAAATTGGGGCTCCAAAACCTACGTGGTACGACGGCCTGGCAAGCGGGTGTCGCCACGCAGCTCACTCAGGAAGTCGCTGGTGGATACAATGTCTAGTCGACCGGGCAAGGCGAAGCAGTCCTCAACGAGCAGTCTGCCGGTTTTTAGGGCGCCGAAAGAGACTGGGCAATCAAGGAATAGGATCCAGGCAGGGAGGAAGACTACATCGGCTTATTTGAGGGATTTGGATAACTTGGTCGATCAGGAGAGTGGCTCGAAGTTATCTAGAAATGGCCAGACTCAAGGATAAGCCAGCGCGGCAAGAAGGTGACGGAATGATGTCACATAGCTATTTAAGGCGCAATTAGAGTATCCATGTACTAAAACTTCATAAAGAGAATGGACGGGGAGACTAAGATCGGAACAAACTGAGATCCTAGTAAGTTGAGGCGATGGCCTTCAGCGTCATCCATAACACTTCAATTAAAGCCTTACCTAAAGTACCACCACTGTAGTACACATCTGATCACACTTTTTCATTTTTTTCGACAGCATCGCTTTTGGTGGCTTGCTGAGCGTAGGCACAGGCCATGTCCTATCCTGAAACCCGAACCACTACGAGCGGCGAGCCCCGCAGATACTGCTTCGACTTAAGACCCGGGATCTGCGACAAGTCGCAGGTTCCAACTGTCAGCCCATGGGTGATTTTTTGACTCCGATACTGTTTGGAAAGGAAGGTACGATATGAAGGTAGCTGGAGAGTCAAATTGCAGCGGTCTGGTGGTGACAAACACTTTGAATTGCCACTTACCCACGAATCCACCACTTGTAGCATCCACCTACTCGAGCCGCATAACGTATCTGAAAGTGATCAGAAGAGCTTATTACCACAATGGAAGCATCTACACGATTGTATGCGCGACTAGGCGAGATCCCCGAGGATCCAAACGATCCAGACAGTCTCGACGACTTGATTGTTTGCGCCTTTGGTGCATTTGAACGATATTACCTTTGCTGGAAGACAAAAGGAGGCGAATACAAACAAGGTTTGTGTAGCTATTCCGGAGATCCAGTGCTGGCTAATTCATTGAAGATGGCTACGGTCTACCACCCGCACTCAATGAATGGTTGAATCCAACTGACGGCACAACACGAGACTGGGGATCCCTTCAAGTCGTGTTCGGACGTGGCGAAGAGTACTTCGCGTCCGACAGCAACGGGAAGCTCGAGTACAAGGAGCCTGAAGTGAGGAAGCTAGCCGAGGACGAACAGAAGGAGAAAGTCGACCGGCAATCTATGCGGAGATCAAGGACTGTGTCATTCCTGCGACCACTCTCGCAGACTAGCATACGGTCTGATGGTGCTGCGGCGGACGCATTCTCAATGCACAGGCGCGCCTCGTCGTCCATATCGTCTCATCGTGCATCGCGGCCTCCAAGTCTTTCGTATTCAACCACTGGATCAGAAGCCTCGCTAGAGCAGACTGGAGATTATCAGACTCAGCGGAGTACTCAGGCAGCATATGCTCCTCTTTTCTCAAGAGGGAAACCCATGAATTATAGCACTGCGGTACCGCAAGATTCGACAGAGCCACAAGCAATCGAGTCTACAGAAGTCAAAAACGCATCCGTACCTCAGCGATTCTCAAGGAGCCAGACCAATCCTTCAGCGCAGAATACCGGGCCGTCGTTGATACAGGCGTTGTCTCCAGACAGAGAAGCAAATCAGCCAACCTTCACCACCATACCCGAAGAGCAGACCGAGAGGAACCCACCAACTGCCAACAACACACCACCATGCACATGCGGATGCCACTCGCGCACTCTTGCCACAACGCATCGACCAACCTATACCAACGCAAGCGTCCAAACCGACCCCGAGCCTCTTCGCACGAAAACGCCCCTGCGCATCGACACCTTCACCGCCTCCAACTGGGGCGACAGCGCGCCTCGAGCCGTGAGCTACGACGTGTACACGCCCGGTTTCGATGACGGAGCATGCGCGGTCCCGTTCTCGATGGGGCGGATGACGAATTACTTCAGCAAGCCGGGGTACCAGCTGGGAGATAGTCTGTCCAATGGGTATCGGTACTTTGAGCAGCCTGTGTATCAGTATCAGGATGAATTTGGGGAGGAGGCGTTGCGGTGAGGTGGGGATTGGGAGGTGGGTGGACTTCGATATCCTGTTTTTCACCTGGTGTGTTTGGTTCGGATACGACTAATGGGAGGTGCGTGAGAGACCAAGGATGTCTTTGGCTTGTTTGACTACGGCTTGTTTCCTCTTACGTAGGTGATGTAATGGTCTCATTTAAATCTTTGGTCCACGAATCTGATGATGAGCCAGACTCGCAATTGACAACGGCAAGACCGCATTCTTCTTACTTTCCTGTGTACACGCGACCTCTACACCCTACACCCACCTCCTCACCAAAAGAAAGAACAAGCCAAGGCAAAGTCGCACCTCGCCCATATCCACCAATTCTCGAAGTTCCGTCAACATAGCCGAGCACGTGCCCCACACACTGCCCACTCTCCCCAATTCCGCACATCAGCAAAAAGCCATTACCAACCTCGACGACTTGAGGCCGTGAAAGGGGGCAAAATGCATCGGCCGGGAATCGAACCCGGGGCTAGCCGAAACTGGGCTCCTAACGATGATAATCGTATTGGAGACTTGGCAACGGCTAATTTTACCACTAAACCACCGATGCAGGTGATTTGATGGAAAGTGAATTGCCATTATACAATATATCCTTGATATTTCTTGGGCACACTTTTTATGGTTGTGATGAAGAGGTAAGTTTCGTATGTGGACAGTGTTTCATAGTGGTTCGCTTACTTGGTTCTCATCGGGCGGAAGACCCCTGAGAGCACTAACTCCACTTCTTAGCTTAGCAGAAACTTTTGGTGATATTCAATACAGCCTGCACGCAAAGTAGGCACTTACATCTGCCGTCTATCAGCAATCAAATACTAGTATTTTGGCCACTATAGCCCTGAGCTGTTTCGTAGCAGCAGCCACTCTCCTTGCATCTGTATCATAACCTTACGAACTTGCGACGAACTGACGAGTTTGTTGGAGTTTTGCATATCGAAGTTATCTACCTACGCAGTATGGACCAGCCAGTTCTTCCGCCGCTAGCGTAGTCTGCGTACCGGCCTGTAGATGCCTCTGTACCCCACTCCGCTCCGGACTTCACTTCGCCCAGAGGAGGTCCACAACATCCACGTAGGAGCTCGTGCCGTTGTTCGGCCTACCGTGCTTTTTTATTGGCCTTTAGGAGTGCTAACCCACACTGTTCATGAATGGCTTGAGCAAAACCGAAATGTTTTTTTTTTTTGCACCGCTGCTCGCTTACTGCAGAAGTAACCAACATGGTGGCGCGATGAATCAAGTATTCGGAAGTTACCTTAGGTACTCACACGGCGATCTCTGCCAATGGCGACACTCAGACGACGTGATTGGTCAGCCCTACGTACTATCTTCAATTCTTGCTGGTCTGAACCGTCCGCTAAAACCATATTTGCAGGCGCGTCTCATAGAGAGAATCAAGATTGGACCTTGAAATTCCTGCAAACGACGGATGAACATGCCTCAACATATAACAGGCGGGACTTTCCTGTTGGAGTACAGTCGGGGTTTTGCTCAGTACTGGGCTTAATCCTCACGCAGCTTTTTAAAAGTCCAAAAGGGGGAGTTTCCCTCTTCCTCTGCACATTTCTAAGCTCAACACTATGTCGCTAGTGCAGCTGAAGCAAGGGCTCGCTACAGGTATGATGGCACGCGCCGGTAAGCCACACGGTAGGTACTGCTTCCAACTGGCAACATGGGGAGCGCCTCGACCTGCCTCGAGCCAGCGGACGAGCTATGGAGCGACATAACTGTATAATAATGTACTTTAGGGTCTGGCCATGTCAGGTCGCACAGCTCGGCCTTGTCATTCAGCTACCAAGGCCGACTCCCAACCCCTCAGCATAAGAAACAAGTCCTACTTGCTTCAATTTCGTTGGGGCCTAGAAGTGCGTGATCTGCGGTGGCTACCCTCTGTAGCCGGCGAAAAATTTCTGACATTCTCCATACGTTCTGGACTCATTCTTGAGACATTCAGCTACGATTTTCAGTATGCGAAGTGTACGCCGCAGTGGCCTCCATTAGCAACGACAGCATCGTATTGCCACCTTGGGATAGTGGATTTCCGGATGCCGTGCCCTGTCTCCATGATATAAGGTTCCAGGCACCATGTCTTGCTTCAAATCTGGAGATTCAGTACACACCCTAACATGGAGTATTCATTACTACTTCTTATCACAGCGGCTCTCACCACTAGCGCTCTTGCGCAGGTAAAAAGTATCACAGCAGTAAAGTGCTTTACCAAGCTGAGCTCCACCTCTTAATCAACTATTCTTACCGCATCGTTCGTCCTGACTATCCCACTGTATGCGACAGCGAAGCAGACCATAACTCCCACACTGACCATTACGCCTGCCGCAATCATCGATGTTGTAGCATCGTATCTTTATCACTAGCATACGATTGACGCCGCAATAGAGTCGTAACAGTAACGTCCATGATTTCGAATACAAATGTAGTCACGGTCATGACAGGCTCAGTTACAACCATTGCCACCACCGCTGGCTTTGTTCCAATTGAGTCATCATTCCCAGACTCTGGCGACAGCAGCGACGCTCCAGCAGGAAAGCGAAGCTTTCTCGATAGCGGTATTGCCAGCTCTTCACTCCAAGCGCGCGCAGGCAAGACGTTATGCACGATTAAAAACGGCAAACCAGTGTTCTCGCCTCCGAGATACCAGTCGGCTGTGAGATGCTTGGGAGCTGTGTTTGTTGTATCTGCAAAAACTGCTACAATTACAGCTACGACAACTGTGACTACTACGTGAGTGTTTGGATATTGTAGTTACGATCAGCAACGCTGACTATGAGCTTCTAGGCTGCCTCCAACCACAGTCTTTACCAGAGACGTCTCGACGAAGACGGTGGTAGTGACTACTGATATAACAAACACCGTACGTGTATCTTCCAAAAAAATCCTCTCGTTGAGAGAATCTGATCTAATGTATGCCTACCCGTTCTAGGCGTCCATCCCTAATCCTACACCTACCTATTATGCCGCGTGCGCCGACAACAATATAATCGACACTGCGCAGGGCTCTGGCGTGGCCAGCTTTATTCCTGATTCTGACTTTAACATGGTCACTGTCGGCGCCACCAGCCCCTATGAGTGTTGTGCACAATGTCAGGCCTATGCCGCATCCAATGGTGGCACACCGTTTTCCAGCAGTCATTACTTCCCCGACAACTTTCCCAGCCTATGCTTATTAATTACCGGAAGTAATGGTCTCAAGACGCGACCACTCCCATATATTTCAGGCGGCTGTAGCCCCATTTATGTAAGCAACGGGTGTGATAAAATTATTTTATTTGCTACGACTGCTCTAGATGGCTGCCAATAACACAGGAAGGAACTGGAGTTGTGGTTTCTGAAAAGCTGACACGTAATTTGCACGGGCATACACGTAGAAGTCTACTTCGTAGTCCATCTGAGATATCAATGCCTTCTTTACTTTTTTTCTAATCTTCTCCCGAAACACCATTTTCTGATCGTGCTATTGCTTTAAACTAACGAAATGTCATACCTGATGCAGGCGGTAGATGAAGCAATAAGTCTACACTGTTTCCCCCTTCCCACAAATTCACGGACGCAGTTCTGCATTGTGTCCAGTAGCAGTCTGAAAACGATCAGTAATATACCAATTGACCGAACTCACATCTCTCGATAGGACCTCGCATACCGCACAACGTAAGCTCGTCTCTACAGCACCTTGCCACGGCCGACCGGACGCCCACCGTGCTGCGAGGATAGAGTAGTTTGAGGACTTCAGATCTAATTAGTAGGTATTAGATAATTAGGAATAGGTCTATAATAATTACAATGTTAATTAGCTGATTTTTTTTCCTTTTACTCTTTTCAGTTTGTATGCTGCATGAGTGCAGTGTCCACTCGGAGATGGTAAGGTGCTGTAAGATCCAATGCTCTTTCGTCATGCAACATAGAATACGTTTCACTGTTCAGTACAAAGCTCGCATGCTTTACACAATAACGTAAAAGACTTTAGGCAGCAACCTCTTATAGCTGACTAACTGTAGGAAGGAGCATATTAGGATGCAGTAACAGATCTGTTGTTTATCGTCCTGATTAGGACTAGCGCATTTCCATAAACAGCTTTACCCATCAGTCCTTCAAATCACCACTTCTCATCCTCCATCTTGCGGCTTCACATCATCTCACTGGCCATCCAGGCTATTAAAGAACCCAATTCATACCAAGCCCAGTGGGAGCGACTACGGCCAGCAACGTGTCTTCTTTTTCCAAAAAGCTTTACTATCTGCGACATGCACCAATCGCAACACAAGCTCCAACTAGTCATTGCTGGCCATTCTTGCAGTGAGCTCGGTGCTCAGTCGGAGCTGGCAAGACATGGATAAACAATCTTACTTCTCTGCGGTAAAGCACGGACCGCCTTAATCTGTCAAAACCAGCACAGCCCTATTTCGTCTGTTGCGTATGAATCGTATCTCTCTAGCATGTCAGCGCTAGTCTAGGGGCCAGTGGGCCCGCATATTTTTAGGCATTTGAGCGTTGGACTACTTGTACACGGTATGCGGTCTCTGTTGCTCGAAAAGAACGAAAAATCAAGTCTCACATCATGGATTCTTTGTTCAGATCGCCGGCTGTGGTAGCATCGGTTGCCGCCCTCTTGCTATGGATTGCTTGGAAGATGCTTCTCGAGCCCAGTGTCCTTCCTGACTTGCCCGTTGTTGGGCTCGATCGGTCACAATGGTTTGCGTGGCCCAGGACGTACTACAGGTCTTTTCACAGGCATCGCGAATTGTATAAGGAGGCGAATCTGAAGGTATGTCTACATCGGTATTCTCCAGACTTAAGTCCGGTTTGCAGATGCACATTTGCACTGCCTCATCATTGTTGAAAGGCCGAAGTCATCTTCAAGAGTCTCAAGAACAGAAAGTCTCGAGCTCTGATTTGCGCAAAATCTACGCATTTCGAAGATCCCTAGAGATCAAGCTTACATACTCTATCATGCCTAGCACTTGCCCTGACATGAGAGGCAGCTTGACTGCTGAAGACCCCTGCTAACATCACTTCCAGTACCTATCCCATGGAAAACCATGCATCATGCCCGAACTAAACAATAACCGCGTCATCGTTCCCAGCACATGGGGCCAATGGCTCGTCGACCAACCCAGTGACACCTTGAGCTCATTGCAGCGCGCCAAAGATCTCCTCCAGACGAAGCACACCTTCCCCAGTCCCAAAATGGCAGACCGCACTCACCACGTCCACGTACTCAAGATGGATCTTACACGCAAGCTGAGCTCGCTATCAGGAGAGATCTGGTCTGAGCTTGGGACTTCTTTAGACCAGCATTGGGGCACCGACACCGAGGAGTGGAAGCAAGTCAACCTTTTCCAGACCATGATGCGCGTTGTGACCAGGACTTCGCACCGGGTTTTTGTTGGAGAGCCTATGTGTGAGTACTCTCAATAGTATATGCATTCCGCCGTTGCTCACGACCTCTCAGGCGCCAACGAGGAATATCTGAACCTCTGCACCGCCTTCGCCGTAGATGTCCCTGTCTCAGGCATGGTAATCCACATGGTCCCTAAACTACTG